ATGTGGCATTACTGTAAATAGTTTTGCAAACAACTGAAAGAGCATTTAAAATTTTTTGTTCTGTAACAAGCAAAGTTAGTTTGAATGCAGGTTAAGTTTTAGGAAAAGACATTAATCCATTAATCAATGCAAATTTTTAATTGAACTTGTTAGATCCTATTTGTGTAAGTCTAGTCATTAGGAATTCCAGGCTGTGAGAAATGTCAAGCTATTGTGGTGTAAACCCCAATTAGGGTTTACCGACGAGTCTTGTTTTTTTTGTTTATTGTTGTCCGTATTCTATATAACTGAGCTCTGTCCAAGAAAATACAGGAAATTAGGTTTTGTTCTACTAGTTGTTGCCCTACTTTTTAAATTCATTTTCATTTATTTTGAGCAAATTCGAAATGTATACCTCCTGTGCCTTTTTTTTTCCCTTGGAAAATATAATTTCTTAGAAGAAACTCAGATTTCACTGGTCAGTCATTTCCATCTTGTTTTCCTCTTGTAGAGTCTACTGTGTACCTGTTTTTTAGTCTTTGTTACTCTGAGATTATAAAATACACTAGAGAATACCATAATAGATCTTCTTTCAACATCAGAAAACAGATTCCTATCTTCTTCCTCCTTATATTTCTACCCATATTTTTGAAGTGGTTGCCAGGTTGTCTGCATCACATAAGAACAGCAAGAGAAACTTTACTGAAATGCTATTTTTCTAGGTGCTATTTTGGCAGAACTATTTTAGTCTGTTTCTTTTGTTTCCTTAATGTGTTTGGACCATTTTGCTGGCTGCAAAACAACTAATTGACATAATTCTGTGCTAGAGTAGTGTTGACATAGGCATATATACAAGCACGAATAATTATTTTTATTTAAAACTAGAAGACCAGGAAAGGGAAAATACAAGAAAGGGATAAAAGTTATAGGGTTCTTTGCCCTCACCCACCACATTTAACAAAAAAGACATGTTCTATTCTGAAAGGTCATAATAGCTTTCACATCATGAATCAGAAAAATGTAGACATCTTAATTTTTAGGCACACGTTGGCCAAGGTGACAGACGTACTACGTGGTCAGTCATGAAAATGTATAGATGCCACCTTGTAGTGTCCGTACTCAGCGCTTTTTATACAACAGATTCTTACTGAAGTGCTGGCTGCTTATTTTCTCTGGCTGGGTTATTGTATTGTTCTATAGAATGTAAGTTGTACAGTAAAATAAGTTATTAAAGCATGTGTAAACATTGTTAATATCTTTTGTCCTGGATGGAGAATTTTGAATAAAATATCTTTGAAGTTTTGTCTCTTAGTTATTTTTAAGGAAAAACTCTGCTACGATACTGGAAGCCTGATTACCTTCCTGTTGAGCTAATGGTTATGCTGGATCTAAACTTTTTTTAAATAAATTTTCTCTTTTGAAAGAAAATATATTTAAAGTTCCCATATGATGCTGGAATCTTATGTTTGCTTCTTCCCAGATTGCAATTTGATTTTTCAAATTATATACTTAAGATCATTTCCTCTTTTTCAGTGCTAGGGATAAAACCCAGGGCCAGCGCTTGCTCAGCAAAGTGCTCTGTCACTAAACTGCATCCACAGCCCTTGTCTTTTTGTGACAGGGTTTCACAACGTAGCCCAGGCTGGCCT